GTGTGTGTGTGTGTGTGTGTGTATGTGTGTGTGTGTGTGTGTGTGTGTGTGTGTGTGAGAGAGAGAGAGAGAGAGAGAGAGAGAGAGAGACCCCACACATTTGTGAGTATCATGGTTTGTATATGATTACATTTATTACATTAATTTCTTTGCGAATAGTAGTCATAGCAAAGATACCACAGGAGATTCCTGTGCTGCCTTTTAAAAACTCAAGTTTCTCCATTTTATTTATGTATTTATTTGTTCATTCATTTATTTCTTTTGAGAAGGGTCTCACTGTGTAACCTTCACTGGCCTAAAACTAGATATGTAGCCCAGGCTAATCCTCAAACTCAGAGTTCTACCTATCCCTATTTCCCTAGTTTTGAGATTAAAGTTTAGTTCCTAACTTTTTTTTTTTTTTGGCCAGGGCAGGGGGGGGGGGGTTCGAGACAGGATTTCTCTGGCTTTGGAGGCTGTCCTGGAAACAGCTCTTGTAGACCAGGCTGGTCTCAAACTCACAGAGATACGCCTGCCTCCAACTCCTGAGTGCTGGGATTAAAGGCGTGAGCCACCAACTCTAATTTTAATGAATGTTAGTACTGAGTTTTTTTTTTTTTTCCAGTGTCCTTCTCCCTTTGTTGCTTATGAAAGTCTTAAGCGTCTTTAATTGTAAAATTTTGGTTAAGGGTCTAAAATCTCATTTAGGTTTCTAGGTTAAATGTAGATTTTCCAGTTATATTAAATTAAAATCAAAGACGAGAGCTAAAATTGTTGCCTTAAATACTAGACAACTATCTAGTTGAAGGGGCTTCTTGTTACCTGTTTTTACTTATTACTTATCATACTTGTTTTTTTTAAGTCAAAGCATCACATATTTGTGGATTTTTTTTTTTTTTTAGTCTTCAAAGTTCAGAAACAGTTTGTACCCTTTCATTCTATAAATGTTCTAGGCCCATATAATTGATTGAATTAGCCTTCTCTAATTATAGAATATATCTCTAATTACGAATGAACCACTGTAGGAATTACTATTATACCAAAACATTTTGAATGGAGTGTCAGTTCTTACTAGAGATTGATCTTGGTAGATGACTGTACGTGTCTGCTGATAACACCAATCATAAGCCTATTTTCCTTCTAGAATTGCTGTGTGATGCGTTACACCACTGCTGGTCAACTTTTGAATATTATTTCCCCAAGAGAGTTTGTTGATTTCTCCTATACTGTGGGCTATGAAGAAGGACTTTTATCCTGTGGTAATAACCTAAAGCTCTTGTTCTTTCTTTAAGTCTACTTCATAGTTAAGTTTTTACTCTGAGTCCTTCCATATAAGGTATATTTTTTAGTCTTCAATTATTACTAGTTTTTTAATGCTAAACTCTAGAGATTAAATGGCAGATTAAATATCATAAATATATGACAACATATATTAATCAAGAATATATGTTATTACTTACTGTCATGGGTTTTTTCATTTTTGTATTAGTTGAATTTGTTCTTTGGCAATTTCACCCATGTACATCATGCATACTGACTACTCTTCCTCTCTCCCTATTATTACATTGTCTACCCCTATGCATCTCTTTCTCACATTCATATCTCTTCATTTTGTTTGGAGCCTGGTGGGCTCAGCAGTGGGCACACAATTGAAAATGACTCTTTCTTTCCCAGAATCCATCAGTGTTCAACAGTAATAGGTAGGGTCCCATGAGCCTCTTCCTTCAGTTGTTGACAGGGCCAGTCTTTATGTGGGCTCAGTGAAGATGACTATACTTGTGAGTTCAAGACTGCAGTAGTTGTATTGAGCTTAGAGGATGGTGTTTTGCAGCCTTTCACTCTTTGTTCTGCTTCTAGCATGGGCCCACTTCCACTACTGGAATGTTTCCTGGGCCTTTCAAGTGTAAATGTCTTGTTTAAGGATGAGCCCTCAACCATTTCTGATAACTTGTTATTAACAGTTACATAATATCCTCTATTTCATGTATACCATAAATGGATAACATGACTGATTCTGAGAAAGTGATCCAATAATTGACATTTCATTCTAGGCTTCTCAAAATAGTTTCTTGGTATACATGTATGCATATGCACATGTGTATAGTGGAATATATACATACATACATACATACATACATACATACATACATACAATCCTTCTTTGAATTGTGGGGTTTTTTAAAAATTAAAAATACTGCCACTGGAAGCCTCCTGTTTTTAAAATGTGTAGGTAAATTAATACTTTGATATATGTAGTATAAACTTAAGTTGTAAGTTGTTATCTACTTGTTTATTTTACTAGTGAATACTAAAGTTGGGGATGGTCATGCCTGTGAGGAATAGTTATGGTACCATACATTTTGTTCCTGCCACTTTCAGTCCTGGCTGCTGCAACTAAGATTTGTAGTTTCCAAGGAGTTACCAAGATGATATTATGTCATCTATTCTGAAGGGATTCGATTTTCCCCTTTACCTGTCAACCCTGCACCAGAATTCTCTTTGTTAGTTATCATTCTCATTTTTGCTGTGGTCACTCCTGGGGGATTAGTTTTCATTATTATGAGTAAGAAGAAAATTATTTAAGCAAGGAATCTGATAATATTTTTAAATGAGAGTTTTAGACAAACACCAGTTATTACTATTAATGATGTCATTTTAAAACTGTTTTGTAGGAGTAAGTCTTGACTGGAGTGAAACGAGACCAGAATTTGTTCGTGGCTATAACTATCCCTGGGGCTGGGTTTGTGTTCCAGTTAAAGACAATCCAAGCCAGAGTCTTTTAACAGGCTATATTCAGACAGATCTGCGTGGCATGATCCCTCAGTCTGCAGTAGATACAGCAATGGCAAGCACTTTAACCAACTTCTATGGTGATTTGCGAAAAGCTTTACGAAAGGCTTAATATGTTCAACTCATAGTGCTGAGGTTTGCTGAGCCTGTTCTTCCCCTCAGCTGCATGACCTGTAAATGTCATCAATCCCATCTGCTGCACAGCCTGTAAAAACATTGGAGGTGTTTTGGGTTCCATAGAACAATCTCATTTTATATTAAAAGTAAGTAGCTATGTAAATAGGTCATTTAAATTTTCTTAAGCTTTTGTTTGCACCCTGTTATGTTGTGGAAGTGTGTCTAGGAATGGAGAGGGTAAAACTCCAAGATTTAGAATGGGACCCTTTAGTGTGGTCTATTCACAAAAGTGAAAATAACACCTTGGGAGGAAGGTTTTGGCTGTTTGGAAATTACAAGGTGTGCAAGCACAATGCTATTCATGTTATTTTGGAGCTTTTTGAACATTTTGTAAAATTTTAATGGTTCTTAATGTAAATGTGCTTTACTCTTGATATGTTATGTGAGTTTGCCAACAGCTTAGACAAAAGGAAAAAGTCCTCCATAGTCTGTAAAGATCAAGTCCATTGTTCATTTACTTGTACTATTTTATGTATTAGAAAGACCACAAGCAACAAGAGAGTAGCCATTCTTGTAACCATAGGCACAATTCAATACAGTTTAATTTTGATATCTAGGTAATGTTCTGCAAAGCCTATAAAAACATACCTGTGTCTTTATGTGCCATTTATTCTGGGAGTGATTAAAAACAGCCAGGTATACATTGGTGACATCACACTGAGCAGTAGCTGGCATAGGAAACAAATAGTGGTACCCCTCATCACCAGCAGAAGGTCATTGCTAAAAAGTGAAATTTATTGACTGCTCTACACATACTCTTTTTTTTTTTTTTTTTTTTTAATATCACTGAACTTGCAGCGTTGGTGTGGAGCTGTAACAAATGAATCCTTAGATTCAATGGGATGCTTGGATGTCCTCCTTATGACTAGAATGAACTATTAGTGGGGCTGTCTTAAGGGAACATTTCTTCATGATTGTGGCATTCCAAATCATTCTTTGACTTGAATGTCTACCTGGTTTACTTCTAAAGTAGAAATTTGTGTTGATTGCATGTCCACACATACCTTTGTATTTGTGTTCCTTGAGCTATCTCGTTGTTTAGTGTCCACTCCTTCTGTATTACTATTTCTACTCTCCACTGCTGGGCACATGTGTTTCCCTTTCCTTTTTCTGGTTGGTTGGTGGTGGGTGGGTTTGCTTTTTTTCTTTTGGCTAATATGGAGTAAAGTGAGCTCTGGAAAAAAAATCTCAGGCAGGCAAGTTTCAAAAAGACTGACCAAAGTGCATGATGGTTCAGATGTATGGAGGAATGGCTCAGGTGTATGGAGGAATGGCTCAGATGCATGGTTTGGCCTGTTTTGCAGGAGGTTGTTTCTCTAAGTGTAAAGTCAGTTCTTCCCATTCTTTTTGACAGTCAAAAGTGAAGTTGGTTTTACTCTTTCTTAAAAAATCTTTCTTGTACCTGGTGGTGAAGATATTTATGGAGCAAATGGTGGCAGCATCAGCATTCTGAGTGGCTAATCTCAGAGTTTTTTTATTGAACTAATGCTTTCAAGATCTGCCAGAAGCCATTACCCCAGAGTCCTGTTTTCTAAGTTTATTAACTAACTGCTAAGGTCCTTGTCTGAATTGATTGTAACTTTTCAACTGTTGGATTTCTTTGCCACTTTTCTCTTTTGCAATAAGGAAAGAAAATGCAGTTGAGAGTGTCCAGTGAAGACTGTTAATTGTTAACTGCTACCTGTGTCTTCTGTAACTTCATCTGTTTTTACTGGTGTAGAGTACAAGGTCTCATATATTCCATTATCTCATATATCCTATCACTGCAGTCCAATTTAAGAGCATTTCTGTATACTCATTTAACCAGAGTTTATCCTAGTTGCCAGTACAGGAAAGGGGACGAGAAAGATAACATTAGAACTTGTTTGGTTTTGTTTCTAAGAGTAGAGAGAGGGGTGTGTGTGTGTTGTGTGTGTGTGTATTTAAACTCAGGAACATTTATAAGTTTAAGTGTGTTTATCTCAAGTATTGTAATATAAAAATACTGTAAAGTGAGGATGATATTAGCATATAGTTAGGTCTGCTGCTTCTGTAGCTGTGTTATCACAGAAAAATAATGCAAGCCATATATGTAACTTAAAATACCCTAGCAGAGGCTGGAGAGGTGTCAGTAGTAGTAGTAGAGTACCCGCTGGTCTTGCAGAAGTCCTGATTCGGTTCCCAGCACCCACATGGAGGCTTACAGCTGTCCATAACTCCAGTTCTGGAGGATCTGGTGCCGTCTGGCCTCTGCAGGCACTAGGCATGCACACAGTGCACATACATACATGCAGAGAAAACATTCATACGCAGAAAAAAATATACACCCAAAATTCATTTTAGCAGTGTTTTCTAACTCACTGTGTCTAAAATATTTCAATATGTAACTGATGTTAAAAATAAGCTATTGAGATACCTTATGGGCTCTATTAATTCTTTGAAATAGTATGTGTATTTTACTGCTGTAGACTAGCCATAATTGAAGCATTCATTAGTCACATGAGGCCTATAGCTATTGTAATGAACAATTCTATAGTATGTGTATCATTTGCCTTGGTATAAGATGAAATGGGCAATTCATGAATGGCTTTCTTAAACAGAAATCTTTTATAGCCTAGCACTTTCAGGGCTTCCTGAATAAGACATAAGTAGTTTAGAAATATAAATAAATAAATTACTTATTCCCAGTAAATTAAAAATTATTGCTTCAGAATTATTTTTGTTAAATGTAGCTTTTGATAGGACATTGAAGGACATGGAAGAGTATCACCTACCACATTACTGTGTAGTTGTTTCCTGTAGCTTATAGCTTGTTGAGGAAATGTGTGTGTTGGAAATACTTGCTGTAATGTTACCTTCATGTAAATGAAATTTTGGTAGAAAATACTGATATTTGTTGAAAATTCTTGATTATTCAGTGATTAAAGCAATACTCAACAAAAAAATAATAGACTGTAGTGTTCTCAGTTCTTTGCTATAGACCACTGGAGTAGTACATGTAAACCTCAGGATCTCTTTCCTGGTCCATGCTCACAATGGGTGTGTTTGAAATTGGGGGTTTCCAGGTGTAAAACTGTGCTCCCCTTAGCAGGGTGTTCTCCCCTTCATCTTTCTTTTCTCCCTGAAGATCGCTTGACTAATACTGAATTAAATGAACTTCTGGAGGTAAAAAATGCACCCAAGGTTCTGGAGAAGAGGAGAAAACACTGTAGTCTTTGCCCCTTGTTGTCTCTTGAACTGTTAGGTCTAAGAATTCCCTTTGATGTGGATGGCAGCTTTCTCATGTTTACAAGAGCATAGTAGCATCTTTAGGATCAGATGTTAATTTCTTTTAATTAAATGGATGTTGTAGCTTTCTGAACCCAATAGAGAAAAGGTAACAACAGAATCAAGGAAGCTAATGGAAATCTGGATTTAATGAGGACTTTTTTAAAACGTACATGGTACATGGTCACTTTTCCAGCCTCTTTCCCTTCCTTTTTTTTTTTTTTTTTTTTTTTTTTTTCTTTTGAGGCTGAGGACCAAACTATGCTTCAGCTCCTATGTGCTCTCACCTGGGCTTCTAGAAGTATGGGATGGTGAGATCTGAGCATAGAAGAAACATGAGCTTCATTCTAGAGCACTGGACTGGACTTAAATTCTTCATCATTGTGTTCCCAGAGATTTTATACGTACTATGTATTAAAAATTCATCCCTTACAGTCCAACAAATGATGTATTATTTTGAGACCATTTTTAGGAAGTTACCATCTTGTGAGTGTGTGTGTGTGTGTGTGTGTACATATATATGGGATTAGGATAAAGAACTATGATATAAATAAAATGTATATTTTAAAATTACAGTGGAGTATATCTGAATAAAGATTTCTTGTTACTGGTCACTGATCTTGTTTGTGTAAGTTACTTTAAGTACTGACCAAATGTTATTTAACTGTTTGAACTGTTTAAAAACAAAAATGTAAACCTGGAAAACAAATTACACACACTAGTCTGCCAATGTTTCATAATATTAGCAACAATACTGCTAAATCTTTACCTGAAATCTACAACCTTGCTACCTGAAGAAATTAACTGATTAAGGAGAAGAGGTTTATTTTGGCAAACAGGTCTGAAAGTTCTAGTCTAGCATCCAGTTGTCTTGCACTGGGCCTCTTGTAATGGCAGCATACTAGAAGGGTAGCATGTGCTGGGAAAAAAAACAAAAACAAAACCCTACTTACCTCCTGATCCATAAAATAAAGAAAGGGAAAAAACCAGAGTCCCATGTTCCCCTAGTGTTCCCCAGCAACCTTTGTGCCTCCTATTAGACACCACCTCAGAACCACTGGGACTAAGTGTAAGTACATGGACCTTTGTGGAGGCATTCAGCATCCAAATGGTTGCAGCTCTTATGTAGCTTGTGCAAATGGGTATCTGCTTTTATTACAGTAACAAGGCCAGATGGGCACATTTAAATAATTGTGTAAGTTGGCTAAATGGAATGGACACTTTAATTTGCAATAAGTAGTAGTTACTAGAATATTCATAATCTAGGTTATAAAAAAGCATGTAGGAATGGTTTATGTAATAGAAAATGAATGGCTATGAGGTAGCACATATGGGGAGTTTCTTCACCTAAACATCTGGTTTATGTTACCTATTCCAACTAATGGCTTTGGCAGGTAATTAGGTCATTAATAGTTTATGTAATGTCTCCTGTCATGTATGGACAATAAGAAGGCAGCCTAGACCAGATGCCAAACCTCCAGGCAGTTTTGATCTTGGATGGCCATTTCCTCTAGAAATGGTTGAAATATGTTTGTTCATAATCCACCCAGTTTATGATATGTTGTTATTGCAGTTGGAGTGACTTAGACATCTGGATAAAAGTAATCACTAATATTTTCAGCTGAAGAACAATGTTTCTGCCATTGTCTTGATCTTCCTTTTAAGAAATAACAGACCAGCCCTAGGAATTGATTACAAATGCATTCAAGTTGAGAAGGCAAAGCCATGGCACTTTCTGTCTGTCTGTCTGTCCGTCTGCCCCCCCACCCTTCTGTGAAAGCTGTAAGCTGGCTGGGAGCAAGAGTAAGGATTTCCAGCCTCTTGGAGAGTGTGCCCGTAGTGACTTTAGATAACCAGCCACAGGTTAAACTTTGCAAGGTATGTGTGAGGAGTCTCTGGATGCCATAACTTCTATGACCCCTTAACACAGTAATGAAAACTATCTTGCTGGACTAAGAAACATTTTGGAGCCTCTTCTAATGACAGAGGCTCTAGGGCTATCATTCCCATAGGTCAAGAGGTGAGGGAGCTTTCCCTCAGGTTAGTCGATGGCTGATGTTACATGGAATCTGCCAGCAGTGTTCTGTTTGCATTGTTGTCATGCTGTTGTTCTGAGCAAAAATGTCCACATTGTATACATAGGCTTTTATCACCAAGAGATGACACAGAACTGTTAAAAAGAATGCACTACAGATGTTTCCCAGGAGACAGTGTGGATCTATGCTCATGTGTTACCAGCTATGTGGATGGATGAACTACAAGATCTAAATTAATATGGAGGGAAGCAGGTGTACCAAAATACAACGTTTTTGCTCATTAATATTCTCTTCTCAAGCATTATAATCCTACATATGTTTTGCTTTGGTGAAATTTCTTAAGTACAGGGCAGCAGACTATTAATAGGAAGGAAGTCTAGAGGTTGCAAAACAAAGTAAAAGTAATAATGTGAATATCAAGTTGTCTTGTAACACATTGATTTACTGAGAGGGTTCTTGTTTTTCTCTAGTATTTCCCCCAATTACCTCAACTGAGAAGTCTTGTTTAGGATATTGGTATTTTCTCAACAAAGGAGGAATCTTGGATGGAGTGGTAGTGAACATAAAAAAAACATGCATAATGACTGATACAGCAAGTTTTGAAAAATTGTAAGTGAAATTCAATACTAGAGAAAAAAGGCAATAGTTTTTGCAAAGTGTTAAGATAATTTTCTGTATTTTCATGTCTTTGTAAGGAAAAGTCATTTTTCATATGAGTTGATGCAATAATGTCCAGCAGATATTTTAGTAGTGAGAATTGGGCTGAAGAGTGGCAGCACAGCTGTTCCCTTCTCATTCACCATGGACTTACATTGGTAGTTAACTTCCAGGGTGTGTTAACTCACTTTAAATAAAATGGAGTTACTAAAGATGAAATAATTACTAATGTGCCTTTCTAGCTTTATTAATTTCACAGTCTTACCCTTTAGGCAGTAAATATCCCAGCATGCAAGTATTAAAAGTACTAAAGGCAAAGTACAATTTTACCCAAAAGAATGGTGATTCAGCTGTGCATTTCAGTTCTAAGGAAAATGTCCATGGTATGCCTTGATTCATGCTAACTGTTCAAATCACAGAATGCAAAGTTCAGGTTGGCTCTTAGATGATTTATTATCACATTGTACATGCAGATTCCTTTACAGATTGGCCAGCTGCAAGGCACTGGCTAGCTTCTTTTGGCATGCTCTGACGGTCTGGGTGAACTTAGAGTTACATCAGTCCTCAGTCTCTACAGGTAGCCTAGCAGCATTCACTTTGCTCATGTCACATAGTCTTTCTTCAAGTTCTTGGCCAACACCCCTACAATCACCAAATGAGCATATTTAATCATTGACTTGGGTTGTCCAACCTGTGTCCAAGAAAATCCATTGAGCCATCGAATATCTTAGACTTTTGGCAATTGAGAGAGAGCCAATGGCTGTCCTGTTCCCTTCATAGAAGGTGTGAACTCGGGTCAGTCACACACATTGAAGAACACAGTACCTCAGCCATTAGCAAATGGACATGGTTTTGTTGACTGCAAGCATTTTATGTATTTACATTTGTAGCCAAACCAGGCTTAACATACTTACCTAAAAATATTATAATTGTAACTTTGTATTAAGGAATCAATAGCACCATTTTGACACATTTAGAAAATTAAATGTTCACAGTTTCTTTTAGTACTTTTTACTAGAAAGCGTAAAAGCCAACCATATTCTTAGCTGTGTAAATTAAGATATTTATACTTTCTTTCTCCATTTCATACACACTCTCATTTTGTGTTAATGACTTGTGGTCTAAACTACAGGAAATCTGTTTTCTTGCATATGATGCTATTCTATACTCCCCCATGCTGCTATTAAAGTTGCTTATGTCCCTTTAGTCCAAAATACTTTCAACAATCCAACAATGCAAATTTCACATCTGAGAAGTCTCAAAAAGACATCCCAGATAATGCCATCTAAGCCTGAAAACCCCTCACAGCAAGTCTTCCTTCCTCAGTGTTCACTAACCTGTTTTCTGTTTCCTAATAGTATCTTTATTTCTTAGCATCACCCCCCCCCCTTTGTCTCTGTCTTTCATGTCATGTATTCTGGAGAAATGTAACCATCCACTATCCACAGACATTATCAGAAATAAAGATACTCAAGTCAGAGTATTCACACTGTAATTCTAATTAGTAATTTATAAAAACAAAAATCCAGGTGTCTTAAAGAGAATGAAAAATAGTGTCTCCAATAAGAGATAGAGATTCTTTAGATGTTTTATATTGTATAATTATAACCTTATACACACTGGACAAAAGAGAGTGAAGAATTAACCTGGCAGGACCAGCTTGAGGTCTGAAGATTAGCTGTGGACTTCCAAACACGCGTTCACTATGTTGGGTGACTTTATCCTGCTTAGGTATGTACTAGGAGACTAGCCAAGTAGCAGGGGCAGGTGCTCTCGAGAACTTCCCCTGCAGCTGTCCAGAGCCAGAGTGCAGCAAGGAGCTCAGCTTAGATCTAAGGCTGTCTAAGACTACTGCCCACTCCACAATACCCTGTGTATCTCACTCAGCCTTTCTCATCCAGTGCTAATTCTTCTCCTCTACCTCCGTTTCTCCACCCCAGCTATGCCATTTCTTAGTCTAACCCTTCAAAATTAGCCTTGCACATTCT